AAAAAGAGGTACTAGGGAATTTATTTCGCGAGAAATTGTTGCTGGCCATTCAAGAAGACGCAAAGAAAAAGGTGAACGACGTGTTCCAGATCAAATCTAAAAGGGATGTTAAAGATGTTTTTAACAGAGCCAGAGAAGCACTGAGAGCTATTAGTTACACTACCGACAGGAATGGACGATATAATAGACTGAATATTGACGATGAAGAAACTGATTGCAGCTTATGGATTCCACCCATCTGTAACTCTGTCGATCATTTTGAACAGTGGTAATTTGAACTGATCAAAAGTTTTAAATTGCATAGAAAAACTAATGTTTGAAGAAACAGTTGTAGATGAGAGAAGATAGCAAAAAAGTTGCAAATTCCCAAATTTTCAAATCTCTGTTTCTGGATTGTATTGTTGTATTTGTATTTTTTATTGTATTTTACTGGATTGACTGATGCATAATATCTATGGTTAACTTCAAAGATAACCTTCCGAGTTCATTTCTGGGAGCAACGTTTTGGCATTGTTTGTTTACTCCTAATGACTTTTTACAAATAATTCAATAATATTCTAATAATAATATGTTCAATAATATCTTTTTCCCAGTTTGTGAAATCGTCTTTGTCATAGATACTTCATACCCATGAACCATAGAGGAGAATGGGTAGAAAAAATGAATTAAAAACTTTATTTGTGGTATCGGAAGGTATTTTTGAGAAGTTTAGATAACGACGAGTAGCAAAGAAGGATCGCCTTACCTTATCTTTTAAATTTGATTTATATACTTTGAAATTTCCATTTGATGAAAAATTGATTCCAAGATAAGTGTAATTGTTGACAATTTCTATGTTGTGTCTATTGATATGGAGACAATGTTTATTAGGAGTCGACATCCTATATTTCTTCTCGACAATCATAATTGTAGTATTTTTTGGATTCACCGATAAAAGCCGGCAATGTTCACAATACTCTGAAAGGATGGAGAGAGAATATTCCTAGTCCTTCAGCCCACTGAGAGGTCAAAACTAAATCGACAGCGTAGATGGGATCCATTTGGTAGAACTGTGGGATCTGTTTCTCCTTGGTCAAGTAGAAAGGGGATTTCATTAAGTAGTATAAATTAAATAGCATGGGAGAAACGTATACAGCCTTGCCTGACACCTTTGCAATAATCAAAGCATTCAGTGTTCTTTGATCAGAGACTTTTATTTAGCATTTCGTTTTAGAATAAAGATATTTAATCAAGTCATCAAATTTGCCCCCGATATTGAGCTAAAAACAAATGGTAATTAAACTTTATTTTAGCTTAAATAATAAATTAAATAAATAAATAAAAACTTTATTCATGTTCCTTACCATTTTATGAAAATTTAGGATCAAAAGATGCAAAATTCTGCATTTTACGAATCACTTTTCCCGATCACTACCAACTTGGATCAAGTCGAACTGGTGTGGCTCGTATAGTAAATAGCGAAATCAGATTAGCCAAGCAAGCCTATTTTCAAAATAGTTTTAAAAAGTATATGGGCGATTCTAAAAAGACCTGGCAGACTATCGATGATCTTACTTCGCGAAAATCTGGGAAAAAATCGGTGGCATCTCTGAAAGTAAATGGAGTATCAATAACAAATCCAACTGTGCTGTCGACCCAATTTAATAATCACTTTGCTACTATCGGTCCAGAACTTGCCCGCAATATTGATTCCTCAAATAGTGATGGTTATCAAAAGTACCTCACTGGCACAGATAAACGGTTTCAGCTCCATCCGACCAGTACAAATAAAGTTCTCTCACTTTTGAATCGTCTAAATAAGTCAAAGGCAGCTGGCCTCGACAAGATATCTGCTAGGCTCATTCGGGAATTTGCAGATCTCATTTGCATTCCTATCCGTGATATTTTTAACCAGTCAGTAAGTCAAGGCATATTTCCGGATGACTGGAAATGTGCAAAGGTCACCCCACTTTTTAAACAAGGCGATCGGGACGACTTAAATAATTATCGTCCAATTTCGGTGATCTCAGTTATGGCCAAGGTCTTTGAAAGAATCGTCTATGATCAATTATATGCCTA